AGTACTTACTTAGATACTCATTGCAATGCGGACCGACAGGAGCAAGCTGTCACTGGGACAGCTTGACCATGTGGGTCCAGACCCCCAAAATGCAATCCTTTTTATCCTTTTAAAACCGCAAACCACCATCATGACTCTTGGATTGTCATAACGTCCCCAAAGCTAATTTCACCACACTTTCCTGTTCCCTTTGTCCCTGTCACGTCTGTTCCCATCAACGAGTTTGCTTATTTAACAGTTTGCTCTGGTTTTGCAAGTATTATTTCCTGTCAGGGCCCCAAAGGTCGTCTCCAAGCTAGCCCTTGCTTTTATTATTAAATGTGATTAAGCAACATATATCTATATCAAAATAAGTTTTAGGCTACTAGCATTTTTCCTCTCACAATACTGTCTGCAGTATCTGTCACTTTCTTTTAGCTTGGGTAGTGTTCGATTACCTCCTTTGTCTGCTAGGTAGAATAGTTATTTGAGAAGAAAGAGATGACCAAAGGTGGGATGTTGTGACCTTTTGAATTTCATGTTCTATACTGTTTTGGGGTGATACAGTGTATGATTGCTGATGAAATCACTGCATTTGTCCTAAGAATTTGGGGGTGGTGACACACATTATTGTGTATGTTCTGCTACAAGACTATTTCAGAAGTGGGCTATGTTGACGGACAGCTATTCCTCTGCCATCTTAGGGACAGCTGGAGAAAAATGAATGATCTTTTTTTTTCCCCCCTGAACAGATTCCAACACTCCGAGAGAAGTCCATTTTGCTGGTAAAAATGATGACCTATATTGAAAAACGTTTTCCAGAGGACCTTGAATTAAACGCTCAGTTCTTAGACCTTGTTAACTATGTCTATAGGTAAATTATGGCAATTAATCACCTGGTCCAGCATCTCGGTTCATAATTTGTGCCATGTATGACCTTAAGAACGCCCCATTCATCTTTTAAAGTCAATCTAGGGATTTGGGAAAGTTGTGGGGATGGGGACAATCAATTTCTAGTTCTCCAAGGTTTTGGTTAATGTTCATGCTACTCAAATTCTAAGTCAATCTCTGTCAGTTCTTCTAAGGAAAAAATATCCCCCCCTCCCGAAATCCTATAGGAGTCAAAGCATTTTTTAAAGTTTCAGGATAGAAAATTCAGTGGGAGTTTTGTAATTGACTAATTTCTTTGCATTGTACTGGAGCATGACTGGATTTTCTCAGCAGTTTAGCTACAACCAACATTCCCTGGACAGCTCTGTGCATCTCAAGAAAGGGATTCAGAGCGTGCACGTTACCCATCCCTAATCTAACCTGTTGCTGCATTTACTAGGTGGCATCTACTTTCTAAAGTTCCCAAAGCATTCTGAGATGTCCCTCGTGTCCTGTTCTTAAAATATGTGCCAATTTTCAAGCAGCGTTTTATCCAGGAGTATGTTATTTTTGATGTTTCTAGTCAGTAGGTCTACCCAATGACCTGGATGTGATTTGGAACATATGGGGAGCATGTGTTCGGACCATCTTAAACTTGCTGCAACTTTTTCTGGGCATCTTTTCCAACGTGATTTGGTGAAAAGTTGTGCTTGGTTTAAAGTGTTCCCGGTAGGAACTACGCTGCAAGTCATATTTTGCCCTTTGAATTTAAATCTCTGCATAGCCTTACAATTCAGTTTTGTTAGTAATGTTTAGCGAGAGCTTCCTTGTTAACTAACTCCAGCAGGTGAACTTATCCTGTATCTCTCATCTAGTCATTTCTATACTTTTATTACCAGCACTAATTTGGGTTCCTTCTTCTCCTTCTCCCTCTTCTTCTTCATAGGGATGAAAACCTTTCAGGTAGCGAACTCACCGCTAAACTTGAACCAGCCTTTCTCTCTGGCCTCCGATGTGCCCAGCCTCTCATTAGGGCTAAATTTTTTGAGGTTTTTGACAACTCCATGAAGCGCCGGGTCTACGAGCGGCTGCTGTACATAACCTGTTCTCAAAACTGGGAAGCAATGGGAAATCATTTTTGGATCAAGCAGTGCATCGAGGTGAGGATACAGCAAGTTGGGGGGTTTTGTGCCTTCTCTGGAAGTAAGGTTTTTTCAGCAAGATCTCTCTTCCACTGCAGATTCAGTATACAGGTAGTCCTCAATTTACGACCATTTGTTTAATGACTGTTTGAAGTTACGACGGTGCTGAAAAAAGTGACTTATGACCAGTCTTTGTGCTAATGACTGTTGCAGTGTCCCCATAGTTACATGATCAAAATTTGGATGCTTAGCAACCAGCATGTACTTATGATGGTTGCAACGTCCCAGGGCATGTGATTGCCATTTGTGACCTTCCCAGGGGGCTTCCGGCAAGCAAAATCAATGAGGGAAGCAGGATTCACTTAACCACTGCAGCAAAAAAGGTTGTAAAATCGGGCATGACTCGCTTAATGAATGTGTTCCTTAGCGATGGAAGTTCCGGTTCCAATTGTGGTTGTAAGTCAGGGTCTACTTGTACAGTCTAATTTGCATTCTGGTTTGGTTGGCTACACTTAAAATTAGAAGTTGAGGGCCTCTTTACAGTTGTGTCAGCCTTTGGAGATAGACTATGTCGGGAAAACTGGCTGGGGAATTCTGGGAGTTGAAGTCCACACATCTTAAAGTTGCCAAGGTTGAGAAACACTGCCCCATGGGCTTAAGACATAATCGGTCTGAGTTTCTTCCTAATGTTTTCTTCATTTTCCAGGCTTAATGCATGTTTCAGTAACTGTCGCTGCCTAGTTTCCTGAAGGCTGTCTCTGTGGCTCTCCACAAGATTTCACTTAATACTGGGATGGGAGATGATCAGATCTGTAGGTTAGATGGAGAAGTGGAAATGCATGCTGAAAGACAGTGTGGGATATGCGGTTGTGATCATGAGGTCCCTAGACTGGGATTTAAGGTGTGAGTTGCCATTTGTAGGCTTTAGAGTAGACTTTTCATCTGTTTTCCACTTCTCAGTGGAAGGGAATCATGTTATTGCTTTTCAGCAGTTACAAAGGAGGTTCCAGGGACCAAAAAAGGGGGAGGGAATAACTCCTGTTTTATTTACATTTTGCAGAAAAATAGGATGCACGCAAACCACGCAGAGCTGAGCTTTTTAACTGTGCTGCGTAATTCCTCCCAGGCTCTGCTCTTTCTTTCTTTTTTTATTATTATAAATCGTAAACAGAGGTACCGCATTTCCTTGGGGTCCTTCCGCATAGAAAAATCCCATCACAGCAGTCGCCAGATCTCTTTTCTTTTTTAAACGAACACCAGCAGAATCCCGAATAAACTTCTTTGTTATCATCTTTTTCAACTGCGAAACATATGACTGATCTGCCCCATGAAACTTACCAGTAGAATTTCATTTCTGGGCGCTTTTGACATTCCATGATCATCTCTGCTCCTTCAAGTGCCCTAGTGATTAAATTCAGAGACAGTGATCTGTGTACCTTTGTGTAGCGAGAAGGCAGAAATCACTGTCGTTCCACCGAAGGTCTTGGATTGGTGAGGCGTGAGAGCCCTGAATGGGAGGGAGGAGTCTGAATTCTTGGGAGAACTCCAAGTTTTGCAGAAAGACATTATTTAAAGGGGGTGTGGAAGCAAGAAAAATGGCTCTTGGTGAAGGGGAAACGCGTCCAGGATGAATTCAGAAAGGTGGCTAGCGGGTGGCTGAAGCACTCTCTCACGGCCTGTGATCTGTAATGATTAAAGAAGAAATAGTTGTGCTGGGACTTGAATGAGGAGGAAGAAAGGGTTTGAAAAGGGAGAGAAGAAAGCCTGGGGGCGTAATATTTTTCCTTATTCCAAGGAGATGATAGCCAAGTAGTTATCAGAGACCGTTTTTCTTGAGAGGACAACCTATACAAATTAAACAACCCAGCATATTTAAGGCCAGTTGCTTAGACTATGTACCATCTCTCATTTCTACCAGCAGTGTTTCTCAACCTTAGCAGCTTTCAGATGGGTGGACTTCAACTCCCAGAATTCCCCAGCCAGCATGGAATTCTGGGAGTTGAAGTCCACCCATCTGTAAGCTGCTAAGGTTGAGAAACGCTGCTACCAGGATCAATTTACTCTTAAAGTTACAAAAGCACACCCCAGTGGGGGAAAAATACCCAGAAATCCCATTTTACATGCCAATCCAGAAATGCTTTGAGGTCATCATGTACCAAATGCATGTAGTAAAGCAGAACAGTGAAGATGGCTCTTAACGAAGGTTCATAAAGCCATCTAGAATTGTGGGTGCCGTTCAGACGCACGCAGGATTTCCCTTGTTCTCTTACAACAGCTGACATTCCTCTGCCTCCTCTGCCTTTGCTGGTAACCCCCTGCATCTGTGTCAAACAGTGTGGGATAAATCAAGTTAATAAGGGAGAAGCTTAAAGGAAGAACACGGAGCAGCCTCTGGCTAATGATAAAATAATGGGATTGTAACACATACCTTACAGTCTTGCTGGGTGAATGCCGAACAATTCCTTGAAGCGCAAAACAAACAAATCAAATGGAGAAACAATCACATTTATTTATTGACATACATGCATAGATTTAAGGAATGCCCGACTCCCGATGACTCTAGGCACTTGATGTTATAAAGCGCCAGAATAATAGCATAACAGAGCCATTGATGTGCATCTCGACAAAGAAAAATCATACAAAACGGGACAAAATCTTACTCTCACCAATCATCCTACCCTTATGCCTGGGAAAATAACCGGGTTTTCAGCGTTTTTTTTTTTTTTGGAATGTCAGCATAAAAGTGGGTCTGTTATGGATCTTGGGGGTGGGGTGGGGTGGGAAGGCAAGCTGCCCCCCATTTGTGCAGAATAATCAGTCTTCGTAATCTCAAAGTGGGTTTAATGAGATCTGCAGAAGAATCCCCCTTTTTGGAATCCTTCATTCCAGCTGACTTTTTGAAAACCGCAATTTAGGTCATAAAATGTAAGTGGGGAGTGCTTATTCCAACATCCTGGTCATATTGACTAATACAAGAGAGGCAATCTGCTTGCAGCTCCCCACACCTATTTTGGGGACCCAGAGCAGTTTGGAGTAGTTTTCGGCTTCTTTTTTTTTTTTAACTTAACAAATTTTTAAAGAGCCAAATGGGTGCCTTAAGCCTTATTTATAAAGTCCATTTCACTCCTCCATTAATCCTCCCGCTGCCAGATTTGGCTGTTTTTTCCTGATTTTGAAGAATTATAAGGCACAAGTCTTAAGACATCCGTTTCAGTTCTTAAAATCCCTCCGACAAATGCACGAAAAAAGAAAATGTGAAAATTTTGCCCCTGCCTATTCCAGTGATGTAGTGACATCACTGTTCATGCGCTACAGCTTCTGGGAAGCCATAACAATTGAAATGTGGTCCCCAGTTCTCATATAAAGGAACTTGCCACAGGATTTGTGCCAACACATGATACACTATTCACAAGAGCCTCCAGCTTGGACTTCTGTAGTAGGAAGACAGAATGGCCTTGAGAGACAGGAGGAAAATCCATTACCAAGATGACAGTCAGATAAAAGAAACCTTGGTCTGGGGCAGAACTGTAACCTGAGAAAACATCTCACAGAAGACCTCGCTAGTTCTCATGAAGTTAAAGGGAGGGAAGGGGGAAGTCCATCCAGACTTGCAAGGTTCTGTTACTTATATCTTTATAATAAAAGTAATATTGGCTTGCATGACTTGAATTTCTTAGTCTGTACCCTGAAGGGCTGACAAATTTCCTCTTCTTTTCTTCTTCCTTCTGTAGCTGGGAAAGCATTGACATGTCAATGTCCTGTTTTTAAAATAAAAGGAGTTGCCCCTCCATCTGAACTCAGAAAACCACAGATTCTGACTTGCTGACTAGTTATACCACACCGAACTGGAGTTCTCTGGATTCAGTTATGGGGGTGAAGCCTGTTGAGTTGAACAATAGAAGCTAATGCTTTGCATCACCTTTTGCTGGGGTAGGAGGAGAAGTAACGTAAAGGTGGATTACCCAAGTTCTAAGTTCATTCCCATAGTGTTGAGCGAGGCAACTAAGTGTCCCCAACCTGTTGTCTTCCTGTTTTGGGGAGCAAAACTCCTAGTATTTTCCTCCCAGCGTGGCTTCTGCATTTGCTCTGGTAACCCATAAGTGAGTCCTTGACCTTGCTGGCTAGGGGATCCTGGGAGTCAGACACATCTGGAGAGCATCAGATTGAGGAAAGTGAGCTAAAGTGAGCGCTGATTTGTGTCTGATGAAGGAGGGAAACTGTAGCCTGGTCCCCTGAATTCCCACCCCTATTGAACAGATGTTCATTTGCACATCTGCACAAGTCCATTAGCAATGGGAGTTTAGTTTTTTGATGATGCCTTCCTTCCACCAGGAATTCAAAGTGGCATGCACAAGACACCTTTGTTCAGCTTTGGTTAAGAACAACAGGAACTGTAACACTCAGGGAAAAATGGTTAGCCATGTCTACAAGCCATCTGCAGCCTCTCTTTTTCAACCCCTTTAGCTCTTGCTGGCGGTATGCGAAAGAAACACCACAATTGGGACCAGCTGTCAAGGAGCCACACTTCCCTCTATCACAAATGTCATTAACCTGGCTGATAGTCACGACCGGGCGGCCTTTGCCATGGTGACTCACGTCAAGCAAGAACCTCGCGAAAGAGAAAACAGTGAATCAAAAGAAGAGGTAACATTTTATTTCACAACACCCCTCCCCTCGTGTTACACTACACCAGATTTTTGCAAACTGACTCCATCCTGCCATACTGGCTGGGGAATTATGGGAGTTGTCGTTGAAGTCAACTTGATCTAGTGGAATTGGTGGTAGCAATTCTTCATCTTTCCCACCCACCTGGGCTGAACCAGAGGTCCTCTACTGGGTGGCAGATTCTGGAGATCATTCCCTTTCAGATATTGGGCCTGCTATATATTGCTACCCATGTAAACCATACTGGCTTATATAGAGATCTCTGCATTTTAGGTACCTTAACGCATGTAGTTGAAAAACTCTTGCATTCTCTTTACAAATAAAATAGGATGTCGAAATAGACATCGAGTTGGCTCCAGGAGATCAGACAAGCACCCCCAAAACCAAAGAGCTTTCTGAAAAGGACATCGGTAACCAGTTGCACATGTTAACCAACCGGCACGATAAATTCCTGGATTCTCTGCGTGAAGTGAAGGTGAGTGAGTTGATGCTCCCCTTGCGTTTCACAAGACCACTTGAGCATTCGGAGCCTTTTCTGCGGTGTGCATGCTGCTAAAATCTCTTGGTGTAAGAGTAGGTGCATTGCAAGCCATTCATTAGGGTGTTTCCTCATGCATTGCTGTTACAGCTGTCCCATAGTTGGTCTGCTGGGTGAGGATGAGACCTGTGTGTTGCTGGTCTCTCCAGCAGCCTTTCCTAGCTCGGCCCTCCCCAGATGGGTGACCTTGAGGAGTTGTCGTAAACCTGCTGGCTTCAGGTTGTGGCTTGGGGAAGATTCTCCCTTGCTGTTTCTGGAGGGGTAAAGCAGCTTCATCTTCTTCATATTTAATATGCCTAACTAGCAGTTTTGTTCCAGACCGGAGCCCTGCTAAGTGCTTTCGTACAGCTTTGTCACATTTCCACCCCCTTGGCTGAAAAAACGTGGATCCAGTTGTTTTCCAGATTGTGGAAAATCCTTTCAGACAGACAGCAGCATGTGAGTGTCATTTTGAAAATAAGCAGTGATGCAAAACTAGTGAAATATTTTGGTGTTCGCTCTCTTTTTCTCTTTCTTTCTCTTTGTTCCTTCCTTCCTTCCCCTCCCTCCTTTCTTTCTCTTTCTCTTTCTCTTTTATTTATATTTCAGATTTGTCACCGCCCATCTCA